ATGATGAGTTATAACTCGTTATAACTCAAGAAAGGGGAACACACAATAGATCTGTAAGGTCGCGGTGATTAACTCCCCTTCTAAACACTCTACATTCTACAACCATGGCAGTAGTAGCAAAAAACAAAATGGGACAAACTTTACATTGGCGAAATAGAAATAAATTGTTTCTGAATTCAGCAAAAACTAATTATATCGAATTTTCTTTAAATATACTTGGACAGCTAAAATTTAACCCTATTTCTTCATACTTAAGGAACAGCAAAATAAAAACACTAAATCACCACAATACACCAAAACACTTTTACTTTTACACTGGACGCGCGTTTCGCTAACCATGTTAGCATCATCAGCAGATGATTATAAACTGATGATAAATGCTAGCATGGTTAGCGAAACGCGCGTCCAGTGTAAAAGTAAAAGTGTTTTGGTGTATTGTGGTGATTTAGTGTTTTTATTTTGCTGTGTAACACCAAAGGTTACAACCCTCAACTGTAATCTTAAGGAACACACAATAGATCTGTAAGGTCGCGGTGATTAACTCCCCTCCTAAACATTCTACATTCTACAACCATGGAAGTAGCAAAGAACTGAGAGAATGGGACAAACTTTACATTGGCGAAATAGAAATAAATTGTTTCTGAATTCAGCAAAAACAAATTATATCGAATTTTCTTTAAATATACTTGGACAGCCAAAATTTAACTCTTCATACTTTATTTCTTCATACTTAAGTAGCAACTTCTGCAGTTACACTCAAAAATGAATATAATATATATCAGATACCTGGGCTTACAAATACATCAGAATCTTAGATGGGATTGACATGTAAAGATATTAACAAGTAAATTGATGGGAGGCAGTATTTGGAGTTAAAAAAATCTAAGGTTTTCTCACTTGTATCCCCGTATCTCGTTAATCAACGTAAGTCTTTCTTTTATGAATATCTGTGTTTGAGACCATAAAATATAACCGCTAAAATGAAATAACCTATATAACAATAACAAAAATTGTCTGAATAAATCATCTTTAATATCTTAATCTTGATATTATTTCTAAATTTGTTGATTTCGTAGATTCTCTTTCCCTTAATTACCAAGATATTTCCCCAGTGCTTGTTAGGCTTATGAATTTTGGATATAGCGAACGCTTATTACTTTCCATTAGGGAATGTGTGTAAGGTAAACTGAAAACCTGAAAATATCCAAAACTAGGGCAATTTGTGAAAGCTGTATTATTTCAGATCGATAGTAATCTTCTCTAATAACTTTTACATTATTCAGCTGGTTTAGAAATGTGGAAGTGTAATTTGCTTTTAGCCGATTTCATAAACATAAATGAAAGAAAAACTTTTTAAGAGCATAACCCTAATACGATTTAAAACCGTTTTAAATATTCTATGCATAATATAGAGCAAAAATCTGGATACCACACTGCTGTGGAAACAAAACTAAAAAAGGATCTTGATGAGTATCCTAATTTTGTAAACTTATATATTGGAAAGTGACCTATACAGTACCGACTTCTATAATCGTACCTCTTTAATATCTGGTTTATAATTGCATTGGCAATACAACTTGTGGTATATTAAGTAAGCCTAAGATGACGTCCAGTAATACCTAAGTACTTTTTCAAGTAGCACGATATAATACGATCAAAGATTCTTATTTGTATATGTGCCCTAAAATTTTGATGAATTATGGTAAGTGATTTTGTATGGCTTGAGAGAATTTAATAAAATTGAAAATATATGTATTTTTTCTTAAACTAGAATATATTTTCGTACATTCCACACAAATATATGTTAATAAATTTTGTTTTAGATTATAATAGAAAATGCTTCAAAAGATCCGAGTTTCTGAAGTTGATAGTTGATTTTCACCATTCCTAAGATCCGGCACTAAAATTCTACTGACTAGAGTTTACACTCACCAGTTGTTTGGGCACAGTGCGCAAGTGTGTTTAAGATCTAAATATATTTATTTTATTAATTTTAAAATAGTTTTATATCCCCATTGAAGAGGAGATTAAAAAATATATACTGTCATGCTAAGATACACTATTTCTGAATCAGTATTATCAACTGAATTTAACTTTCAATTTTGAATAAAAATCTGTTCTTTATATTTAAAGTTAATATTATTACAACCACATTATTTGTAATGTTTGGCATTGCTGAAAATTATGAAAATTCCTCAATTATCTATCTTCATTTCGCTTCGCAAATTTCCTCAACAATTTCTTTAAAATATGCTTGCCTTTTTTTGGCAAAATAAAATACAGCACAATATACTAAAACGCTTTACTTTCAATAACAGATGTGAAAAAAGTAAAGATTTTTTATGTATTGTGGTGAATAGTATTTTATTTTGGTGTTGTAGCACTAAAGCTGGATTTATAAACACGGCAGTTGAAGTTCAGTTGAGGTTCAGTTGACATTCAAAATGTTCAACATTATGAAATGAATGCGTGCATTTATAAAGTGAGTTGGTCGGAAAGGTGGCAGTTCGTTTTATGATCAGGGGAGTTCAGAGATGGTCAACGTTTAAGTCGGCAGTTCGCGACATGCGTCAGTTGGAATGGCAAATGGCAGCCAATCAGCGCCTCTCGATCACGTGTAGCATAGAAAAGAGATGCATTGGAAAATAACTCTTATTGTTGTTTCATTATTTCTGTTTTTGTAATGTTTATATTTTGAGCAATGTTGGATTATTATGTTTGAACTTTTTTGAAATATCAAAACTATTTTTAAATCGAAAGAAAAACGTTTAAAATGTTAACATTTCTAAACCTAACCTACAACCGAAACTGACAGTTTATAAATGCAAATATGTTGGACCTCAACTGCCGCGAACATCCAACTGCAACTGAACCTCAACTGAACGTCAACTCCCGAGCTTATAAATCCAGCTTAAACGTTCAAACCCCCAACTGTGTTTTTTTATTTTGGTTTTAGTTATATTTTAGCATTACAGATTATTTATTATATGCTTAAAATAGAAATCTGTAAAAAGATGATGACTATATTTTATTAGACAATTAATGTATCTCTTAGATGTGATATATGAAATAAGCGATAGATACTAAATATCTTCGTTTATAAAATTTTTTGATAAATTATACAAATATACAATAAATACAATGATTATACAAAAAAGCTAAACTATTTTGAAAATTACGTCAAGTCAAAATTGCACTGGCCCGTTATTTAGCAAAAATATTCACTCTAAAATTCACCCATCATCCATAATGTTCACCGTATTATTAATCCTACATAATAAATATGTATATTATTATTAGTCTCTATTATTACTATACATTTTGCAAAAATACCGCCAAAAACTATGTTCTTTTTATTTCATTAACATTAGATTTATTTCGTTGAATATTTTCTTTTAATAATTTTTCATTTAGTTTTTCGGTTTTTTTTTGTTCACTTACCACATACTATACAAAAAAATTTGCGTTTTTCTCAAATATCCTTAGGTTCACGAGATTATCTACATTAATATGTATAGGTATCTACATTTACGAGTCCAAAATACTTAGTGTTTGACACTGGATTTGGACTGTAACTTACTGAAACTAGTAAATAATAAATAATTGACTATTACTCGAGATGACTAGAATAAACTTTATAGAGTTTAAGTTAATACTTCGGGACTAACTGCGACTAGATCATAATTTATAGTATTTCGAATAAATGATATGGAGTTAAAAAGAAGTCTACATATTACTGATCTTCCAAATCTTAATATATTTTTTAAAAAGTGAAGTGTTTTGGTCTATTGTGGCGAATTAGTGTTTTATCTTGCTGATTTATATATAATTTTAGAGAAAAATATACAATACATTCAAAGAGTTGTAGAGCTAGACATTTTTTTTTCTCTTAATGTAATTATAAAAATATAGATACATTTAAAAAACCTTTACTGACTAGCAAAATTAAAAAGAATAATATTAATCGTAATGAATAATGCCGTTTTTATTCGACATAAGATTAATTGTTCAAAGATTATTAAATATAGAAAAAAAATAATATAATAGATATGTAGACCAATTTTACAACTCCATAAATTTCTTTCGGAAACATTAAAATATATATAGTACTATAGATAAATTATGGAATAACGTGCGATTTATAATTATTTATACTTATAATTAATATTATATTTTCCTTAGTTATATTTCGTTGTTTATGAAACGTTGCTTTTCGTTCAAATTTTCGTTGTACATATTTGAACGACCAAGACAAAAAGAGGTCAAAATGAAGATCTAAAGAAAGCAGATTAGTGTAGTGTAGTGTAATATAGTGTAACTAGGGCTTTTTTTTAACCCCAAATTTGGTGTAGATTGCAGCCTATTATATGTACATCCCTTAAAGTTTTCCACGGGCAGAGGATTAAAAAATATTGTTTTTATTTTATGTATAATTTTCCTTTAATTCATGAGTATTTTTAATGCTGCGCCCGTTATTATTATAACTAGTGTTTTGTGTTCTTATAATCTATACCTAATGTAGTGGACGTTTTGGCGATGTGTGACATATTACTCTTTTGGGAGGGACTATGTACAAAATTTGACCGAAAAAAGTATTTTTTTTGAAAATATTTTAAAAAAATATTTTTCTTGGTCAATGGTAATGTAAAAATTATTTGCTTATGGGCTGCTCTTATTTACACTGGTAGCTTCATATTTTTCAGATACTTTCTATTAGAAAAAATTTGAAAATAGAGTGTATAGAGAAAGTAGGCGAAAAAAGTTAAAGATCTAAGATTTTACATACTTTTTCTCGATACACGTTTTGCATATAGGTTTAAAAAAATAACTACATCGTTTAATAAAATAAGATTCATAGTAAATACCGTATTTTATCATATTTTTTAACATAGAGACAAAATGCAGAAAGAATAAAACTTCTTTCGCACAAAATTTCATTTCTATCATAATTTTTTTATCATTCATTTTATTTTATACAAACTTGTATTTATTTTTGGTCTTTTCTATTTTTATTTGTGATTTTTATTAAACTTTGTTGAAAATTGTAAAATTATTCTTTTTATGTCTAACAAAAGAAAGTATTCTTATATACATTATGAATTGTAATTTACTAAGAAATAATATAACAAAAAAATATGCCAACAAAAAGTTAATTAGAATTATTTCTTATATTTTATACAGTGTATCAGATAAAGTCAACATAACATGGAATATTTTTTAATTATTGTTTTAGGTAAAATTTGACTTTAACGATAGATTTTGTCTTGAATTATATTAAAAATTGCATAAAAAATAACCTGTTACTATCCGGTATCTGTTAATTTTGACATTCAATCTAATAAGTGGCTGAAATATTATGAGTTTAATTTAATAATAAAAAAAAATGTTTAAGTAGGTTTTTTTTAATTTTACAAAAATGCACCAATTTTGAGCAATCTAAGTGATTTATTTCCAGATTTTTAACCAATAGTGGCCGTTTCTTGTTGTATAAGGGCAGTGTATAAATACCAGTTTTATCAGTAGGCTATGAAAAACAACTTTTGACATTAGGTATTGTGCAAATAACTGTCCAGGATGTACAAATGCGAACTTCATGATATCATCTCGATAAATGAGGAATCTTATTACGATCTTAATTTTAATACGTTATTCATCTTCATTTATTCTTGGTTATACCTTGAGAAAGGGCTGCTATTGGTTACGAATGACTACAAAAAATATTTCATCCAGATGGAAGTATGATATTCTTATGTAACAATTAAAAAAATCATTTAAAGTTCTTCAAAATTCGACAATTAAACCCAATTTCTAGCCATTTGTTACTTTAAACGTGAAGTTTGACAGATACCTGAAAGCAACAGGTTAAATTTTATAATGCCATTTTTAATCTGTTTCAGAGTGGAAACTAACGCCAAAATCAAATTTCAATAAGTCAGGTAATAATCAATAATAATCAAATTCTCAAGTCAATCAATAAAAAAGTCCCATATGATGCCGATTTTATCTCTGTGAAACCGTATCGCTGTGAAACAATATTAAGTTTCATTTTTATTTTAAAATTATTTCATTAAACGACGGCACTTATTTTTTTCTAAATCGCCTTTTTTATTGAAATTTAAGTTAAGAGTAATAGTTAAAAATAAATAATATACAGAGTAAATTTTCTTTTTTTAATTCAGTACTCACCCTGTATAAGGTAGGACTAGAAGAAACTTGACTAGAATTGTATAGACTAGAATACAGTATAATTAATTTAAAAACCCGATCCTCCAATTTGTTTTAATTTGAACCAAAAACGACAAAGAGTTATTTTTTTCGAATCAAAATCTATGATCTAGTGTAAAATGGGAAATTATAGGACACCTAAATCGCTACGCACTAATAAAAATATATTTCTTTCTTACAGGTCAGCTTTATAGAGTATTTAGTACTATACATTAGTTTTCTAAGTCGTTTTTGGTTGAAATATTTAACTAGAGAATTTAGAACATTTGCTTTTGAATGTTCTACATAGAATTATTGCATTATTGCTTATCGTGTTACTACACGACGTTTTTTTGATTCTTCTTGGCATCAAAACTTCAATCTCATGTACAATCAATGTAACAAATACCTTCAAACATAACACAAAATCAACATTTTTACCCAGAGTATACTCTAACTGGTACAGGGCTAGGCAAAATTTCTTGTACTATGTTTGAAACGGGATTTTTCTCTTCCAAGCATATTACCGGTGATGGCACGGATTCTTCCTTCAAGCACGCCGATTCAAGATGCTTGTTCAAGTAGGATTTGAGTGCGAAGGTTTTGTGACACCTAGGGCATTCGAAGTTTTTATCAGCTGAATGAGTCTGCATGTGAGCTCTCAAGTTGGATCTGAAACAAGAGTAGTGATTTTAGAGAAAGATATCGCAAAACTTTTTAATCAATTTTTAAAAGATAATTATTTAAATTAAAACTAATATATGGGAGTCCCTCGTTTGTGCATTTTAGTCACAGGTGACTTATTTACGAAGCATAATTATATACGCGGTTTTGTATAACCATTCCAGATTTCTATTATTATGTAACTCAATACGAGAACAAACCAACGAGTTGTCGAGGAAAAAACGAGCAAAATACATAGCTAGAAATTGTTCCACTCGCAGGTGCTTAGTATCAGAGATCAAATTAAAAAAAAATGATTTAATGATGCGGCAAACTCTGCTACTCAGAACCTAAGAATCTGTGCAGTCGTCACCCTTGATTTGGTTTGGTTTTGGAGGCACTGGATAGAAGAGACGTCGGGAAAAACTTGATCAAGACCAAATCAGATGGAAGCTGAAAATACTACAAAAACGCTAACCATAAATAGTAGTGTGTCGCAAGGCTCAGTTTTGGGTCTTGGTTTTGGTAATATGTGGAACATTTTATATGATGGTTTGGTTAAAGTAAAAATGCCTGAAGGCGTTATATTAATATGGTTTGCAGATTACGTGGCTATGGTAGCAGTTGCCAAAAACGAAAGTATATTAATGGATGTTGTTAATACCTCGCTGCTAAGAACGTGCAAATGGCTGCTTAGAAGAAACTTGAGATTGGCCCCGCAGAAGACCAAAAATGTTCTCTTAACTAATAATAGAAAGCATATCGTTTCATCAGGCACTATAGTTATGCCAAAAAAACCTAAACGTTTGCCAAGCATATAAATAAAACCATACAAAATGTCGAGGGCACCACACGTTTATTAAGTAGACTTTTACCAAATATCGGAGGATCACAGTCTTCTAGAAGGCGAGTTCTTATGGGAGTGACTCACATATTGCAAAAGTTGAAACTCAAAAGAACATAGTGAAACGCTGGCAGCAAAAATGGGACACTGGGCACACAAGCTTGTTTCAGACATCGAGACATGGCTAAACTCGAAAGGCGAAGTGGGCTATTATTTAACCAAAGAACTTTCAGGACACGGATGTTTTGGACAGTATCTCTACAAACGAAAAAGGTCCAGTACTTATCTTGCAAATACTGTGGCACAGTGGATGATATTGAACATATCCTGTACTACTGTTTCTGATGGAGTCAACACAGACATCGATACCAAATACTTACAGGACTAACATTTAATAGCTCTAATATGATGGCAAGTTTAGTGAAAAGCATAGAATCTTGGGAAGGCGCATATAGGACTGCTAGAGAAATAATGGAGACCAAAGAAAAAGAACATTTTCTTTAGATAGCCTAATGCACTGAAGAAATGCGAGAGCGGTTACCGGTGCATAGAAGGCAATCCGACACTAGCAAATATCACACATCACTGGTATTGAGGGTGGCTATGCAAGATTTTTTTCCCATTTCATAAAAGAATAATGATTTTCATCAGGAAGATATAAATGAACTACTTGAACCACATATTGTTGAACTCACTGAAGAGGAACTCACAGAATTGCAGTAATCCTGGTATCACGGTGTTGAGCTAATCTAAAAAACTCTAAACAAATGTCTTACTGTAGCACATGGTCTGTGAAAATTGACATTAGCATTGTCATCATATATTTATTTATGTTCATACGTACATATTTTTATAAATGTTGCTTGTTGTTAGGTAGACTTAGTGTTTTTCAAAAGTGTCTCGCCTCTATAACTTTTTTATTTATTCAGATAAATAAACAAAATTTGGTAAGTTAGTAAATGACATAAATCGGGATTGATTGACGTATTCAATTACTTTCGGTCACTTCCTGTTTTACTGGACATGCCTAGAACTTTTGATTTTTAAATGGTATCGCATCGGTACTTTTTACTTCATATGATAGAAAATGCGATTGTGAATAGAATGTCGTTTATATTACTATAGACATGTCAACTTTTGAATTAAACAATAAATAAAATTTTAAATTTGAATTTATAGTGCCATGGCTGTGTTAAAACCTTTAATTTTTAATCAAGAAGCTTTCGAAAAATAGATTTGATTCTCTAATATTTTTCATGTATTTTCCTCGCCGGTTAAAAGATGCATAAGAAATCATATTTTTAATCATAATTCAATTTTCTCAAACGGAACTAGGTTGGCTCATTAGCATATTTGGAAAAAGCATTTTTTACAAATAATTTGGTACCATATACCCACTTGTTACCCACGGCACTTCTGATTGAGATTTACAATGCTAAAGTTTTAAACTGAAAATGTCAAAAGTTGACACATGATATGTCATTCGATTCAGAATATCGTTTTCTATCAAATGAAATAAAAAAATTAGTACTTATTTAAGACTCACTCTGTATATATTGCGTAATCAAAAACTTGGTTCAATATATGCGGTTTCGACTTACGCGGTGTTTTCCAAGGAATGTAACCCCCGCGTAAACCGAGGGACCCCTGTGACTTAAAACAACCTACATAATATGGTATATTTACCTGTCAGCAAAGGCCTTCCCACAATGCGCGCACCCATAAGGCTTCTCCCCCGTATGCGATCGAAGATGACCTTGCAACAACCAAGGCCTCGAAAACTGTTTCCCGCACACCCCACACCTATGTGCCAGCTTATGTGTCAGCACATGCATCGCCAGCGCTGGCATAGAAACATAAGCCTTCCCACAAGTGATGCATTTCTTAGCTGCCTGACTATCCAGACTTCTATGCGTCTGTTTATGCCTCGATAAGTTGCTGGAAGTGGCGTACTGTTTTCCACATTCGCTACAAGTGTATTTGGGTTTCTCGTTTGAGACTTTTGCAGTAAGAGTTCCTGCTGTATCTTCTGAACTAACTCGTTTCTTTGATCTACCGTCACTCACGAAGAACGCTTCGTAAGTATATGCCACGGTTTTTCCAGATTTTACATCTATAGTAGGAGGTTGGATATTCTCCTGCTCTTGTATATCATTCTGAGAAACATGCTCAATTATCTGAGGCGTAGGAGGTGGTAAAAAGACAGTAGTCGAAGCACTGAGATCCAAAATGGCATGTGCAGCATGTAAATCTTCTTCTGCAGGTACTCTAATCGTAGGTTGGTTAGTCAAAAAAGGTAACGGTGGTTCATGTAGTTCGTTTGGTTTGTCGTCGAGGCAGTAAGGCCTGTATATGTCCTTCTTCTTCGGCGGTAGACTCAGCTGGGCTCCAGTGCTGGTGTAGGTCATAGATAGGGACTTTTTCCTGACCGGATGCGGGTAGTCCGGGTGGTTTTGATTCGTATGCTCGATAACGGTGCTTAGGGTTACGTACGATGGAGGAGGAATGGCTTGCTGCTGCGTTGTGTGGTCTTGCTTGGGAATGTAGGTGGTGAAGGTGGAGGGTTGGAGGTCGTTGAGATAGCCTGAAACAAAGAGATAAATCATTGTAATAAAATGTACGATTCTATATCATTTTTTACTAATATATTTTTTTTTAAATTTTGAACCTTTTAATTTGTTTGTTATTGTATACATTCTGACCTCTATATGAGTTTATTATAATTTGTTTACTATTCTGATTGTAATTATTTTAGCTTTCTGGGCCGGAAGATGAGAATTATTAAGCCCCGAAACTTGTCGCCCCCTTCTTTTTTTGAAACAAATTCAATTTGTGAGTTGTTGGAGTCCTACCCCTCGTCAGAGATTTTATATTAATAATTTTTACTAAATAGTTTCTTAAATAAAAATATTTATTAATAGGAGAGATGCGTAGTTTATTAATTTGATTTAAACTAAATAACTGAACTTAATTTACTCAATTTCACTTTTAAAAATAACTGAAGGAAGCTTCAGCCAAAGTTATTTCAGTTTAATTTCTGATACTTTTTTCGTCTAAACACAAAGAAAAATTCAGTATTTTCAGCGTTTTATTAATTTATTGATATACCAAATACGTCTCAAAAGTGGCCCTCCCCTATAACTTTTATGTTATATTGACATAAATTAGGATTGATTGACGTATTCAATTCTTTTCGGTCTCTTTCTGTTTTACCGGAAATGACTACAACTTTTGATTTTTAAATTAGTCCTAACTTTTGTCATATACTAATATATCAAATCTCGTTTTTTTAACTGAAAAAATAAAAAAGTTATAGGGGGTGAGCAACTTTTGTGATGCATCCTGTATTTAACCCATTTAATATAAAAAGCGATATAAAATTTGTTGTTTGTTGGTTAGTTTTGTGTGGGTTAAAATGGATCTACTAGTATTTTGTGTTTTAAACAATGTTGGTGTTATATTGTTTTCGTATCCTTCTTTCAAACGCCTGTATGAAATTGTTATTTGTATATATTGTATTACAGTGAATGTCGGAAATTCAATGATTGTTAACTTTCATTAGGAAATGCTAGCAATTACGTATTGGACCAGTGAATGTGGTATTTTAGAAGAAATTTGTCGACTGTTCCTATTCATTTCTAACATTCACTATAGTGAAAGTAACATTTACTAAAGATTCCCAGTAAAAGTTATTCTATTTTACAGGGCGATTTTGGCGAGGAAAAATGTTGGTGGAAAGAACAATAAAACTGTTAAGAATATTGGATCACCGATTCAAGCTGATCCACGTATCTTAAAATTACAATTTACTTCTTCAGTATATTTATTAAAAATTATGGAAAATAACGACACAACATTCATAAACATAAGATTGCTTATTGGTAAAAGTTTTTTTTTAATAAAGTTCTTCATCGTGGACAAAATAAAGTATGCAATGAATATGAATTTACAATGGGAGTTATTTGTTTTTTCAAACCCGCTACTTCAAGCATATAAAAACATTTAATAAGTTCATAGTCACTAAGTCCCTTAATATATTTTTATCTTGCATGCTTAACTTTGGTATGACTTCATTATATTGCAAAAATGAAAAAAAAAGTTTCTTTTATTTGCTTTACTTTGCTTTACTTATGCTATACTTTTATTATTGCTTGAACCTAGTGGACCCTACCGGTTCTAAATCGTACCTCTTCAATATCTGGATTATAATAAACTGCATTGCTATCTATAAAAATTATATCGAATGATACGTTGAAATTTGCTGTCCATATTTTAATATAATGATTAAAGCAATATTTTCTCTACGTGTACAAGGGTCCAATAACTTGTGTTTCCTCTCCCTTTCCCGTTGTAATTTTGCGCCCTCTGTGCCGTAATTCCGCTGCGAAACGAGCCAGGGGCGCAACAGTTTCTTTATAACGATCCTCGAGAACGTAATTTTTGCGGAACGGGCGCCTTTTTATTATTGACGATATCGCTAGAGCCGGCTTCTCGTGTCCGACGACGCGACGGCGAATTCGAAACTTTGCCTAAATTATGCGCGAGTTACGTCGAACGCTTTTAAACATTCATAAAAAGACTTCTTTCCTTCCTGGGAAGAAAACATGCGACGAGACGAGGTGTTAAAATTATTCGAAATGTATACTTAGGAGTACAAAATTAGGTTCGTTACACCATTACTCAAGAACGGTTAGCCTGATTATAATGATCTGATTTGTTGAATTTGTCTCCGCCCCGAAGAGCAGAATAAATATTACAATATAAGAAAGTTTCACTAAGAAAAATAGTGTGTGCACTATGTTTGCGCATATTTGAAGTGACACTTCTTAGAGACAGCTATTAAATTGAAGGATTTGAAGTATATATATATATTTTTTTTTATGAATGCTTTTTATAAACTTCAAAAAAATTATAGTTAATATAAACCGTATACTATTCTAGCTTTATAATTTTAAAAAAGAAGAATGAAATTATTGTCTTTTGTTTGTTTATAATTTTATACCACTCAAAATATACACTTTTATGCAAATGCCTGGTAATGTTAACGTCCCTTTAAATTAATTTAAAAGGAGAAATTTTGAACATGGTCGAGACATTTGTATGTTATCTGTGGTCGAGACATAGAATTTAAATCTTAGTTTGCTGAATTTACTCCAATCATTAAGAAAACTTACTGATAAAATCACACATAGAACATTTTTTTCTAATATCTTGTACAGGAATATTGGTATTATTTAAACCGTCATATAAAACAGTTCTATTATTATCCATCAATCAAGGATATTAAGATCAAGTTTTCCATACTTAAAGAGGACAAAGAAAGACACAGTCAAAGTTTATGCACCATCATTACTAATATCGTGAATGACAATGCTTATACTTTACTCTGCCTTACTTCTTTGATAATTTGGCCAATTATCTTGCGCCACTTGTGCATGTGATTTTAAATGCCATACTAAACTTTTCTTTGCAGTAAAATGTTTATTACAATATTCGGAGGTAAATGTATATACTTTAGCTTTTAAAGATGCTAGTTTCTCAATCTGATTCGGATGAAAATTTTTTACGTGTTTTCGAAGCACACTAAAACACACAAAACTGCGATTACATTCGCAGCAAACACACCTATTAGAAATACTGGTATTCATTTCACTTATTTATTAACCAAATAAATTATATGGGGAATGTCATCGATGTTCATTCCCAAGATCATCTGGTATATGTACACCGTTCATAAAATAAGGCGATAGCAAAGGGCAACATTGTTGAATATGCGAGCTTGGGGGACTAGTGGGACGTAGAAGCAAGTAACAACGTCTAATTTCGTCCCATTTACATCGTATATGTGTAAATGCAGATTCCTCTTGTGATTGTGGAGAAATTGGAACGTTAAACCATTTTTTTTAATTCAATAAATTTCCTCCTTTAGTAGATAGATTATATCAATCACTTACTACCTTTTATAATATCGTTATTAAATTTGATATTTTTTACAGGATTTTTCTTTGGTAACAATTTGTTCAACAGCCGGGGTATGGGATTTCCCATTTCCCAGACTTCCTTATATGGCGATCCTCATCTGTCATCACATAAGCTCTGAACCGTAGATCAGCCGGCCGGATAGCCCTGACAGCTGTGACTGCTAATCTATATCTCTGACTACTACTAACCAACAATTTGTGTGCCATGGTGTGATCTGTGGTCTGTTTTTGTTTATTTATTTATCATTATTAATAGTGATTTACAGTAACTTTATTAAATTATACGAATATTTTCGTTGATTAGAGGATTGAAATAAATATGGCAGTGTCCTCCAATAAAAATGCGAGTTACTAACACTTTAATAATTCTAATTCTGAGGTGGCAAAGGAGCTAGATGCTTTACCTAGACCGTTATTCAAAAGCTACAAACCTATCGATGAAAATATGCATGAAAATTTACTCTCTTGCACAGAACCAGGGGATACTGGTACACAGTACGGTACACAGGTACAGGATCAAGTTTATTATAGTGATTTTCTTAGCCGCGTTTGGGCACAGATTGATATCCAGTGTTGCCATAAGCTTATTTTTCATCGGGGTAGATTATCACGAGATAGCGGGGTTAAATTATTTTACAAAGGGGTAGATCTACCCCGAATGCATGGGGTAGTTGTAGCAACACCACTTTTCAAGCCGCTACCACTTTTCCTCTAGTTAGCTCGTTTATCATGGCCGTCTCTCGGCCTTCATTCAAGGCCGTGTGGAACTCCGCCATCTTCCCCAATTGACAGCTCACGTCACGCAGGCTTATATCTTATTTGTAATAACCAGACCCTAGACATTCTATAGTTATTTATAGAATCACAAATTTAGTTTCTTTCGCATCGCGAAAATCAAACTTTCCCTCCATTCAACCGAGCTTGTATCTTTCTAGTTTCCCAGTTTTCAATGATAAAACTCGGAATTCAGGACACCTTGTATATTTAGAGGACTTCTTATTTTTCTAGTTCAAATAGCTATTCCTCTAAATATTTAAAAGAGCCTGTTTTATACCAAACAATAAACGTAGTTCTCCGAACGACGCTCACTTTGGACAGGTCGCTTCATACTTGAAGAAAAAACCACCACTAGATGCATAGCTGTATAGCCACAGGTTCAAATCTCATTAAAACTATTAATTAAAATCGGTAAAAAGCGACAAAACACTTGCGAAACTTCCGTAACACGTGCCCGAACCTAATTATGTTCAATCAGGCAATAAATTCGGCGAAATTAATTCGCGAAACAGAGATCGGGGTCGGTTTACCGCGACGCCGCTTTTTGTCTCCAACTTTCTACATAAATAATAGGAGCGGTAGCGATGCTCCAATGGGAGCAGGATGAGCGGGAGAGAGGAGACAAAACAAATCTCCATAAAACGGAACCGTAAGCCCCTCGGACCGTTTCCGTTGCAGCGGAAATGCAGTTTTAACTGTTGTTGCTCGGCCAAACTTTCCACTGGAATTAACTTTTAGTGATACTTGGAATTCTATCTTGAAGCCTGGAACGGGCCGAGGTCGTCGGAGATTTACATTAATTTCGCGTTATACTCTTTCCTTTTCG